AATAAAAAAAAAACCTTTTAACGAAAGTGATCTTCCTAAAAGTATTTTTTATTTGCTCCAGACTTAAACTAGCAAAAAATTAAAAAGATATTTTTTTTTTATGAATTAATTGTAAATAATTCCAAATTAAAAGCAAAAAAGGACGAGCTTCATTTTCTTTCTCGAGTGAATTAATCATAAATATACCGAATACCCGGCATTTTTTTAAACACCCACTCAAGCGAGTTTTCTTTGAATTTTCCGTTATAAACGCGGGATAAAAGTTAAATTAAGTATTGATTTTCTTTCCCTTCGTAGGCGTCTAATACGTAGTAGGTGGATGCACCACCAACACTACGAAGGTATTCCATTAAGTAAATTCCTACCGTTCTCAACACCCACGCGCCTACTATTCCTTTTCATCCATCAGGTATTACGTCATACACCGTCATGTATGTACACTTTTTCAAAAAACTGATGAAACACTTCGAAAAACGAAAAACATTTTTCATTAAATAACACAAGAAATAATTCAGTAAATAACTTATTAACACATTATTTGTTTAAGGATAAATTTTAAATGGGGTGTTAAAAAAGAGGGAACGCGAAGTTGTAATCAGGGATGTAGCTACTTGAGCGCTATAACGGTTGTAGCAAAGACACAAGACCCCGAGAACTATTCATAAAAAAAAATCCGCAAAAACCTAGTAAAATTCCAGGATAATTACAAGTGGAATGTTTCATTAGTTTTTTTTTATCAGCAATGAAACTGGATACAATTTCGACCTTGAAATTTCCCGAAATTCATGCTTAGAAGTTGTATCCTGAATTTAAAAAAATTCTTATTTTCGTGGCTACGAATTTAGTATGTCGTCAGTATCCTGTTGGTGTAATATCGACTTTTCCTAGATTATGCAGGCAATTTCATATAAATTGGAACAAAATCAATGTCAATCACCAGGGTTATTAAAAACATATTGACTGGCTTAATATTAGCGATTGGGAGACGGCGAAGACCTCATAAGAAAATATAATGCAGTGTTCATTCAGGACCGGATGCAATTGTCAACAAGTTTTTAATTAGATGGCAATGTTAATAGACTTTTCTATATACTATTAACCATTCTTTCCCTACGTTTCTATTCGAAATTGAAATCGAAATTAAAATCACAAGGGGGTTAAAAATTATTTATTTATTTAATTTTATGATTAGACAGCTATACGAATGCACAAAAATCTTGTTATTTAAGTGTTTTGTTTGATTATCATCACGCAATTTTTAATTATCTATTTATTTTAATTTTTTGACGTTTTTATAGATAAAAATTGCGAATGCTAGTTGGTTATTAATTGTTTTATTTATACAGCGAAATCTTTAATCATGTACCGTTTATTATCGAGTCCATCTACCTCATACCCTGAACTAAAAAAATTAGCATTGGCTGTAGTTTTTAAATAAGTAAATAACTTTTAACCCCCTTGTGACTTTGATTTCAAACCAGACTTTTCTACTCGTTTAAAACTCTAAAAGGGAATGTCATCAATATTTTATTACCCCTTAAATGTACGATTTACCTACCTATGTTTGAGCTAATTTTTAAGTACCTACTAATTTTTATGTTGAGATGTCGATTTATTTCCACCCTTGAGTGCTTGTCTGAAGATCTAACAGAAAACTAAATTGCCGACTTCCATTTTACTTAAATTAAGTAATGCGAATATACGAAGAAATTTAATGTGTAGGCGTAATTACCTTTCCGATAAAAATAGATTGCACTGTTAATGTTATTTGTAATCTTTAAAATGTCAGTAGCGCGATGTGTGATACTAAATTGTGGCGAATAAAAAGAGCAAATAATCCTTAGGATGTATAGTTTTAAGTAATTGATGTGATAGTGCCGTTTTTGCTGTTCCAATGTTAAAAGGATAAGACTTAAATAATCGTAAGAAAATGCATACTTATTGGGTAAACTTTGGTTACTTATTTTAAGGGCTCTTTATAAATTACATAAAGTAAAATTTATCGACTAATTAAATTTCCAGTAACAATCCAATTTTAAATTAATTCCTAATCGCAAACTTTAACCCCCTACGTAACAGCACTACAACGTCTGGCTGGACCCCCTTTCCGTCCCTTTTAATCTTTTGTAATTTATGGATAATATACAACAGGACCAGGTACCTGAAAATAATTTTGCCTATAAATATTAGGTATAAAATTAACGTGTTTAGGATAAAATAATGGCGACATCTACTCTCAAATTATTTTATCAGTTTTTTTAGTTTTATTGCTGGTATTTTATTTGTTTGGGTGGAATTCTTTTCCAAAAGTAGAGAGGTTCATTTTTTAAAAATATTTGTCCAAAAGTATTATAGTTACATTCAGAACATTCAAGTAATTTCTATCTTGGGGTTAAATAATAATTTTATTGTATTCTAATTTTTTAGACAAAATAATTTGCTTCAAACAATTATAAAAGTTTAAAAATTAGAAAGAACAAAAACCGAAAGTTCCGACTGTTGGTTATATCGGAAACCCCCATTTGGGATCTTCTTTTGAAAATTCATCTTATGGTGGATGACACGATATAAAGAACCTAATTTCAGCGGTTTAAACTTTGTCGTAATCGTTACATCAAAAATTGAACCCCCTTTTGATTACTTTAGGGGATGAATTTTAAAAAATTCTTTCTTGGTGCTCGCTTACGTCTTATATAGACACATTTTTCACTAACCTGATATTACTCATGATCGAAAATACGCGAAAAATAGTCGTCTAAGAACTTGAACTTTTTCTCACAATAATTTTACGAAAATACATGCTCGTTTTAGTCACGCACGCATGAGCCGTGTCACCAGTCGTCTCGCATTCTTTTTTAATGAGTGTAGAAAATGCTGTATTTCGTTAGATATTCCTTATGAGGTGATATTTCAGGGACTATTTTAAAAAACTCCTGTTGCATGCTCCCAAGAAAAAAAAAACAAAACTACTTTGGCAGAAATTTTAAATTTAAAAAACTATGCACAATTATTGGTTATTTATAAAGCGTAACGGGGCAGTTTTGCTGTTCCTCAACGTTTTTTATCATTAATCGCAAACATCCTAACCCGTATTCTAAATAAATTCCGTGTAGTTGAGGGATGCTTATGTAATGTCTTTGACAGTAAAGGCCATTTCGTTCTATAGGAAGAAATGCAATTTTCCTCTTGACTAAATGTAAAGGAGCAGTTTGTCGAAAGCCGACAGGAGATCTCTCGAACAGCGCCGCTCGCTCCTGAGTGGCGATCCTTCGAAGCTACTCGAGTCCTGCATGCCCTTCAAAGCGAGGCTTAAATTAATGACAAGTGATGACGCTGCCGTAGTAGTCGTAGCGTAGGCGGAAACGCATTTTCATGCAATTTACGACTGAAAAAAAAAATAACACGAAAGGAAACGCGCGTCAAGGAAATTTCTTTTAATTTGTAGATATAAAAAGGAATTACGATTAGTGCAGTCTTTATACTTTGTCCTTTTCTTTAAAGCCTACAATTAGGAGTATAATCTATAATATTTAGCAGGGTCGTGCGCACGGGGTTAATTTAAGGGTTCAAATTCCCGAACCTAATTGATGGGACGGGACTGAAAAACTATATTTATACGATATCGAGTTACGGCAGTGTGCAGTCATCTACTAATTGAAGTATTTCAAATGTTAGACAGTTACGATACACAGGGTGTTTCAGGAAGAATGGCAAGCATTTTGGAAAATAGTAGTTTGAAATATATGGGGTACCTAACAAGTCGTGGGGTGGGTCTGTACTCTGTGTCTCATCACAAGTGCGACACTTAAGGTCCACATGAATAACTTCCCCGTACAGGAGGCAACTGATTCAAATCACTAACTTCTAGGACAGATATACAGTATCTAGTGCTGGATAAAAATTTCTGACTTATTTGAAAATATCGAATTATATTAGAACCAATTAGATCGGATAAATAATAAAATGAAGGTACAGTTTAACCTCTTAGATGCTGGAAACAGAAGCTACATCCACCATCGGAGATGGAAGGACCTCTGAGGTTCCTGCTTCTGTTGAACAGTGCTTGAGATTTGATGTAGGTACATCTTATTGGTATTATTTTCATAATGTTCGCATTATCGGTATTAACATCTCATTATATAAATGATAATTATCGATAGATTTAAGAGTACGATTACAATAATATTTACTTGTAAAGTGTTTATTTTTATTACTCTTTCAATTGTAACAAATGTAGACAAAGCGCTCATTTCGATGGTTTTCAATGAACAGCGTTACCCTCAACGAGACTGAAGTACTGTTGACTTAAAATAAACAGAACGAACAGCTCTAGAAAATCGCTCAATTTTCTGTTTTTCTACGTCCGTAAAATAAATTGACAAGACTCGGTAGCCATTGAGTGAAGTGCACTTCGAAAATGAATTTTACATTCCTAATTTCACAATAAAACAAAAACAAGTAAGTAAATAACAACAGTTTCTGTAATCTTTTTACCTATATGCTGTTTTAAATACTATTAGTTTTATTTTTCGGGAAATTCAAAAAGGAAACGGATAATCCCATTCAATTTCTGCAATGTCAGTAGAGCACTTCTTTCCTCTAAGCGATCCCTTCGCTTACCCCTGGGAATAAAAAAAGTCGTTTGTCGTAATGCCCGACAGCGGAAGAGTTTTGTTTGACAGCAAAACTGCTACTTTAAGATTTCATTACTTCTCTACTTTTGCGAAGTGGCGACTTTCATATTGTACATATGGTTAGTGGCTTATAACAGATTATACTATTCGTAATATTAAAGTTTAAATACATGATGTCTTGTCAGAAACTTAATATACACATTTGCTATATTATATAAAAGCATTAGGAACTTCAAGAAGAACTACTATCTAGCTTGATACATCTAGATTAAGACGATAATTTAGGGGATGATTGTACAAATAGTCAGAGATACAAAAAAGAGTAAAAGGAATAGGACAAACGTTGAATACCACAAACGATATCCCTTAAAAAAGATATTAAATGCTTCGAAGAATCGTCAGAGACAGTAAGAAAATGGGCACTAAAAAGGGTAATTTGCCCTAATAAGCACTATTACGAAAAGCAAAAGAATCGAAATTGTTTTATGGCTAATGAAATCCAATACTGTGATTTATTTGAAATACTTAGTTCCATTTAAAAAAGGAATAGGAATTGCAAAATATCTGTTTCAATTTTATATTTTACCTGCCTTTTCCTAACACTAATTTCGATTTGTATTAGGATACTTTCTTCATTAAAAAAAGGAATAAGGGAATAGTTATTATAATTTATGAACCATTTAGAAAATACCTATTTTGCATTTTACATTTCAAATGCATTTTCGAAACGATTTTGCATGCCTTATCTTAAAAACATCTAACAACTATATTTTTATATCTCTGATAANCATTTTTTTAATCTTCTTTAGTGGTTTTAAATTCCGTCGTTTTGTACTAATTATCTGGGACGAAATGGTAATATAGGTTTTTTCACTAATAACACGTAACGTAAGAAACACAACATCTTTTGATAACGTGAAATAAGTTGGAACATGACATTTACTTCGGTTCCCTTATTATTTGAAAGTGATGCTGGCAGAGTTCGCAATGGCTGTTGCCAGATTCTCTAAGCCAGTGTTCCAGACATTCCAGATGGGCTAAGGCGATGGATCCTTTGCACTTACAAGGCGATAAAAGTTCTGCAAAACTTTTACCACCATGACAAATCCTGCAAAAGTTCGAGCAGAGCTTTTTCAAACTTGCCTACAAAGAAACAAAAACAGTTGCCGGTCAAATACTAGTGTCGCTTTCGTACCAACACGTTGGTCCATACAAAATACAAATAATAATAAACAAAAAACACAACCCACTTCACTGGGCCTCTAGATCCTTACAAAAAATGATCGTCTGTCAAATTATTTGAAATTTTGGATTCTGGAAGCTCTCGACGTTTAGAGCAAAAGTCTCTGATTTACACGTCGAGAACTACCAAAATCCAAAGTTTCAGACAGTTTAACAGAGTACCATTTTCTGTAGAGATCTAGCGGAGTACAAAATCTTTGTTCCGAAAAAAAAAAACGGCTTTCAATATCAAAGTAGATTAAACATTAACATGGATCAAAAATGAGGGGATTAAAACTGTATCGGATTCACTTGCGAGGGGTTTTCGTAGCTGTTTGTCAATAAAATGAAGATAACAGAAATCATTTCAATTAAAAGGGTTTATTAAAACTTATTCAGAAAGTTTTCCCAAATATCTTCTTAAGAAATGGTACATTTGATACTTCGCAATAAAGCGTTCAAAATGGAAAATGGTAAATCCTCCTTTTTTGAAAGGAAAACCACGAAAAAGTCTTGAAATGCTAAGCTAGTACTTAGACCTCCAGACTATGCCGATCGCTATAAATGAAACCCAATGAAATTTTAGTTTACTATAACGGGAAATCCTTCAGAAAAAGACACATATCTTTGACTTATAGGACTCATGGCTATAGGGAGAATGACAAAACTGTAAGGTTATCTACAGTTTTTACCACCCCAGAAATGATCAAATTGAAGGTAGCTTCCCTTAAAGTTATTCATTCTAAGAACAAAAGCTGATAAGGCTTGTTCTTGGTCTATACTCAAATATATTATTTTACTTTTTTAACCTCTTCACCCTTAATGTATACTAAATAAAATAACTGTGTTTTCCACATGGAAAAAAAAACGGTGAATATCTACAACCGATTATTGTACGAAATATCCCTGAACAGAATGATAGATTGTTATTAACTTACTTTTGGTGTTAACCTTGATATTTCCGAAATGATACTTTTATTTTCAGAATCACTTTTTTCGTCATCATCAGATTTGCTATTAATGTCTTCATTACTAAGAATATTGTTGATCACCGTAAAAACTTTTGTTGGTTTCAATACGTAACCACTTTCTTTTCTATATGTGCCTATAAATATTAATTTTTGGTCAAAATGTTACTAAATAAAGCAAAATGTTAGTCTTCGTTTGGTGAATGTGTGAAATATATTTTTTTAACCACGTCTTTCTGTAAATTCTTCAATTTCTCTCCTTCTTACCTGAAAACTGTCCTAAACTAACAGAACTCACAAAATCTTTTAATCGGATGTATTAAATTGCGTATATTGCACTTATTATTTTATTATATTCTACGAATAATGAATATGTTGTAGGTGCATTCAAGTAAATAAACGTATGCAATCTTTTGGTTAAATCAATAAATATTTACCCTTATTTTTCGTTCTGATATTGTTTTATTAAATAATAATATACTATAAATGCCTTTACCTTCATATTCTCCTGTGTGCGATGAAGAATCATTATTTAAATCGATTTTTGAATTAAAATACGCTAGAGTAGGGGTTACATCTCCTTGTGTTAAGTTGTGAAGAGAATTCTGTTGGATGCTGTTGGGACTGTTGTTACCATGCCTTTTGCACTTTAGTTTACAGTTTGATTCCGTTTTGAAAACAGTTACCAATATTTCGGTTTCTTTTATTTGTGTGTCGGATGGTGCGTAATTAATACAAGGAATTTTTGGTTTGTTTGATGGAAAAGACATATCAAATATTTTTTTTGTAATGACATTTGGTTTCCATGGATTTTACGTGAGTTATCATCTTCAATTTGTACAAAAGTCGTACGTGTAAATAATGTTTGGTACTTCACATAAAATGGAGATACTTATTTTGTTAATTATTTAATTAAAAACATAAATAAGAAAGCGTTGCAAGTACAAAAAAAACTTACTGTAGTAACTGAATTAAAGAATAAACGGTAAAATCAAAATGTAATTTGATTTATTTATAAAATATTAATTTTTCGAAGTAAACCAATCACGATCAATTAAATTTAATTATTATAAGGGTTCCCTTATTATTTG